CTCGGCTCTACGGACTCGTCCGAAGGTGGAGCTGAGAGCGAGTGACCGGTAGGCAGAGGAGTGGACTGTGGCGAGGAGTACGTGAAGCCGAAGCGCTGAAGGACCTGCTGCACCATGTGTGACTGAGTCAAGGTAATGGTGCGCTGTGCTCTGTCCCGGGTGATCCGCAAGCCAAGATAGCTTGTCAGCTCATCCAGGTCTGTGCACGTGTGTCTCTTCTGCAGCTCGGACTTCACGTGGGCGAGTGCCTCAGTGTCAGCAGTAGCAAAGACGAGGTCGTCTACGTACACGAGAATGTAGAACGGCGGCAGAGTAGTGTCAGTGCGTAGAAACAGAGAAGGGTCAGCAGTGGAAGGAGCAAAACTAAGAGAAGCAAGAGTCGTCCTGAGTGTGTCGTGCCACTCACGGGGTGCCTGGCGGAGACCGTAGTCTGGCCGCCGGAGGCTCCACTGGGTACCAGCAGGAAACGACCCAGTGAAGCCAGGTGGGCGGCGCAGCCAGATCTCCTCGTGCAGGCTGCCCTGTAGGAAGGCTGTGCTGAAGTCAAGCGAGTGGAGCTCGTAGTCACGCTGAGCAGCTATGTGCAGCAGTACCCGAAGAGTGGTCATCTTCGGGGTAGGGGAGAAGGTCTGGAAGAAGTCAACTCCCTGTCGCTCACTGAAGCCACGTGCAACGTAACGCGCCTTGAAGACAGGCGGAGAACCCGGCGGCCGCTTCACCATGAAAATCCACATGCCACTGACGATGTTCGCCCCAGGCGGGGGAACCTTGTCGACGTAGGTGCCTGTGGACTTCCAGGAAGCCATCTCTGCGTCCATGGCTGCCTGCCACTGAGAGGAAGGGACCCTCTATCGCCTCTGCGTAAGAGCGCGGGGTCGGGATGTCTGGTGCATCCGGGTCTCCCTCAGGGGCAAGCAGCATGGACACGAGATGAGGTACAGAAGCATCAAAGCACTCAAACTCCTCCTGTCTGTCCTCAAGAACGTCCGTGCCAAGAGCACACTCACCCCCGACGGACGGAGGACAGACAGACGCAGACTCAGCAACAAGACTAGTGGCGTAGTCTAGGCGACAGGCAGCAGCAAAGTCAACAAGCTCAGCAACGAGAGCAGACGCAGCAGTGGACTCAAATAAAGGTTCAGTGACAGCAGTGGCCAGAAAACGCGTGACAGCTGGACTAGCAGCACGGAGGGAGTCAGATGCAGGGTCCGGACCGGCAGGAAGAGAGGACGCAGGAGGAGAGGGCAGAGGGACACGCTGTGGAGCAGTGGAAGGACGCAGAGTCATAGAGTGCGTGCCAGGGACAGGAGGAGGACGCGAACGCGAAACACGACCAGCGCGAACAGAACGGACAGGCGACGTAGAACGAGACACAGGCGACACAGGACGCGACTCAGGCTCACGATGCTCCGTAAGACCTCTAGTTGGTCCAGAGTAAGGAGAAGGACCAGGCAGTGGAGAGGCCGGCAGTAACCGTGACTAAGACGGGACAGGCGGTGGACTCAGGGAAGGAGGAGGAGGACCAGGAGAAGGCGGGGAGCCAAGAACCTGCTGAAGAAGCGGAACGTAGTACAGCCGCGGCCACGCAGCGCCTCCAGAAACAGCAGAGACAGAACCGGTACCCGCAGCCCCAGGGTCTCCAGTCCAAGCAGCACCTCCAGCAGCTCCAGCAGCTCCAGCAGCTCCAGAAGCTCCAGCACCAGCAGCACCAGCACCAGCAGCACCTCCAGCAGCTCCTGTACCAGCAGCACCTCCAGTACCAGCAGCACCTCCAGCAGCACCAGCACCAGCAGCACCTCCAGAAGCTCCAGCAGCACCTCCAGCACCAGCAGCACCTCCAGCAGCACCAGCACCAGCAGCACCTCCAGAAGCTCCAGCAGTACCTCCAGCAGCACCAGCAGCACCAGCACCAGCAGCACCTCTAGAAGCTCCAGCAGCACCTCCAGCACCAGCAGCACCTCCAGAAGCCCCAGCAGGACCTCCAGTAGCTCCAGCAGCACCCCGACAGCGCCGAGAGTACCACTCACGAAGCTGCTGAGGAGAGAGAGGCTCCCGCCGCGGCGGGACACTGAGAGCACCTCCAGACGCTGCACGTGCAGGCTCAGCACCTCCAGACACAGCACCCTCAGTCTCCACACGCCCAGGCTCAGTACCCCCAGGCTCAGCACGCCCACACTCAGCACCCCCAGACTCAGCAACCCCAGTCTCAGCACCCCCAGTCCCCGCACCCGCAGTCTCAGCACCCCTAGCAGCACCTGAGTCGACAGCTACCTCGACCGGCTCGGCATGGTCTACCTGGGACACACCTGAGGGGGCAGGACCCTGGGGGGGGGGGGTCGACCTGGGGAGTACCTGGTGCGAGGAAGAGCGGCGGGGGGGGGGGGAGAGGTAGTGCGGTAGGGAAAAAGACGGTAGTACGACACCGACTCGTCAAACGTGACGTCCTGAGAGGACAGAACACGACGCGAGGTGGGGTGGTAGAACTGCCACCCGGGTGCGTCAGGAGGGAAGCCAAGGAAGACACAGGGAACGGCACGGGAGGACAGCTTGTCTGCTGTAGTATCGCGGACAAAAGCTCGAGATCCCCAGACACGGAACGCGGACGCATCGCCAACCTTCCCCGTCCACCGCAGAGTAGGTGTGGTCTTCGGCAAGGAGACACGAGGCTGAAGGTTGATCTGATGCGCAGCGTACTGAACCGCGAACGGCCACAGAAAATGGGGAGCAGCCGCAGGATCATGGACGTACGAGCGACGTCCATGACCATGCCAATGCGGCGCTCAGCAATCCCATTTTGCTGCGGGGAGGCCGGAAGCGTGAACGTCTGGCGGATGCCCTCAGAACGACAGAAGGCTCTCAGGAGGTCGGAGGAAAACTCCCCGCCTCTGTCTGAGTGCAGACGCAGAACAGGAAGGTCTGAGCCAAAACTCTCACTAAGCTGGCGACGAGCACCGCGGATCCAGTCGATCAGCACCTCAGGGACCTCACCCTTGCTGCGCAAGGGGAAGACTGTGGTGTAACGCGAGTAGTCGTAAACGACCAGCAGGAAGTAACGCTCGTGACCCTGTCCACGGACGCGGGCTGGGCCCCACACGTCGATGTGAAGAGTCTGCAGAGGGGCATCAGTCGGAGGAAACGAGGAGGAGTGAGGAGCGGCGCGCTGCCGGCCCTCGACACAAGGAACACAGGTGGGGGCAGGCCCCGGAGGAAGGGGAGGGAGGGACCTGGGGAGTCCCGAGACAAGAGCACGGGAGGCCATACCTCGAAGACGAGGCAGGGAGGGGTGACCAAGGCGGTGGTGCCAAAGGAGAGTCTCGTGCGCCAGAGGACGACACGAGCAGGGGGCAGACGCAGGACTAGACCTGGACGCGGCAGCAAACACCTGACTGGACACAGCTACCTGACCAGACGCAGGGACCGGAGGAGGCGCAGTAGTCAGTGTGTACAGACTCGACCCTGGCCGACGGGTGAACGTGGCCAGGTGGCGGCCCGTCCGAGAGCAAGTGCAGTGGGTCACACGCTGACCTCTAGGGGTGAACTGGTCAACCAACGCGTCCTGGAGGTCAGCTCCACTCACCAAGTTCGTAGAGAATGAGGGGAAGTGGAGTCCCGACAGCAAGCCCGACGGGGCCGCAGGACACGGTAGAACCGTGGAGGAGTGTGCAAGGACTGGGCCCCCTGAGGGGTCAGCAAGGGAGACCGCAACAGGCCGACTGAGCGGCGTGAGCGTGGTGCTGTCTCTAAAGAAAGAGCGCGAAGCACCAGAGTCAAGTGTGAAAGTATGCAAGGACTCAGTAGGTGCAGTACCAGAGAGAGGGGACGCACCAGCACCTGGAGCAGCAGACGCACTAGCACCTAGAGCAGCAGCCGCACTAGCACCTAGAGCAGCAGCTGCAATGCCCGGGTCGGGCGGGACACGCAGGTAACAGTCACCCTCAGCACTATTAGCAATGGCATACATGGCAGCAAGGATAGCATCGAAATCAAGATCAAAGATAGGCACATTCTGCAGAAGCAGATCATGCCAGCGAGGGAGCTCAACGGCGTCAGGAAACTGGGCACGCCAGGCGTCAGTCAGGCGACCGAAGCAGCGCTGCGTAGTGTGTGGGAGTCCACAAACCTCCCCACTACGAGTGCCGGAGCGAAGAACGTAAGCGCTAGGACCAGCACCCGCAGACCTCCCATGCCCAGCGTACCACTCACGAAGCTGCTGGACCGACGGAGGCTCACGGGAGCGCGGGTGATGCTGGCGCTGGCTACCACCAAAGCCTCCACGCTGCGCGGCTCCACCTCGACCAGCACCACCACCGCCGCCACCTCCACCACCGCTGCCGCTGCCTCCACCACCTCCTCCGCCGCCACTGAAGCCCCCACTCCCGGTACCACCCCCACCTCCAGCGCCACCCCCTCCGCCTCCACCACCTCCTCCACCACTCCCCCTGCCGCCCCCTCCACCACCCTTGCTCCCCTTGCCCCTGCTGTTGCGGCGTCTCCCACTAGGGGCAGACGCAGCTCCAACCTCCTCAGTGCCCACGAGGTCGACAGCAGCAGCAGAAGCAACAGAGGGGAGAAGGGGGACAGGGGAGCACCCCTCAAAGAAAGGGGTGCGACGGTCGCCACGAGAAGCACCTACAGCTAAGATACTCTTCTCAGCTGCTGTAAGGCGCTCCTCTAGCAGGTCGACAGTCAGCTCGGTGGGGCAAAGGGAGAGAATGTGGTCCCTGACTGAGGAAAGTGAGTCAGGGAGGCGGGTGACTAGGTAGTAAAGAGTGATGTACATGGGGGGGGGGGTTCTTGGCACAGAACTCAGTGGGAAGGGCAGCGCGGTAGCGGGCGTCACTAGTGCGAAGGTGAGCAACTAGGTCAGCGATTGTGGCAAAGGCAGCAAGGTCAGGGAAAAGGTACGGCAGCATGAGGCGGCTGAGGGCATCAGTGGCAAGGGAGGAGTAGCGCGCAACTACAGCGTCGTACAAAGACTGAGCAGTCTTGTACTGGCCGAAATGCGCGCGCTCAGCAAGCGGCAGGTGACTACGAACAGCAAGACGAGCAACAGCGTCACGAGTGGGCCACTGCAAGCGAACCGTACTGTCAGCAGTGGCAGTAGGAGCAGTAGAAACACCGGACGTGTGATCAAAAAAGGGACACCCCATCCCTAGAATCACACTGAAGAAAGAGCTGGAGGTCGTCAACCCACACGTCAAAGTCAACTGCACGTTCCTCAGCGTCAAAGGTAAGAACGGTAGGACTAGCCATAGCAGCAGTAGAAGCAGTAGCAAGAGTAGCAGCAGTAGCAGCAAAAGCAGCAGTAGGAGCAGAGACAGTAGGGCACGCACAGCAGCAGCAGCAGCAGTGAGGAGAGAGAGGAGGAGGCGTGGTGGGAGTTGCTGCAGTTGAGTCACCCGCCTTCCCCCCCCGCCCCTTTCCCCCCCCCCCCCCTTAACTGCTGCACGCGCAGCAGGGAGAGGGAGGAGGCTGGCGCTGTAGGTGTAGCCTCCCCTTCACACCTTCCACCCCCACACCCCTCCCCTCCCCCCCAAACTGCTGCACGCGCAGCAGGAAGACGGAAGAGAAGGGAGGGGGGCAGGGTGGGGGGAGGTGGCTGATGCTGCAGCTGGACTCACACCACCCCCTCAACCTCACCCCCACAGCAGCAGCAGCGGCAGTGAGAAGAGAGAGGAGGAGGCGTGGCGACATTTGCTGCAGTTGAGTCACCCGCCTTCCCCCCCCCCCTTTCCCCCCCCCCCTTCCCCCCCCCCCCCCCCTCAACTGCTGCACGCGCAGCAGGGAGAGGGAGGAGGCTGGCGCTGTAGGTGTAGCCTCCCCTTCACACCTTCCGCCCCCACACTCCTCCCCTCCCCCCCAAACTGCTGCACGCGCAGCAGGAAGAGGGAGAAGGGAGGGGGGCAGGGTGGGTGCTGTGCATGGGGCTGCAGATGCGCGTGCAAAGGGCAGCAGGGCGCACGAGGTACACAGGGCAGCAGGGCAGAAGGGCACGCGGGGCGCGCAGGACAACAGGGCGCGCGTGGCGCGCAGTGCTGCAGGGCGCGCGGGGCGCGCAGGACAGCAGGGCGCGCGGGGCGTGCAGGGCTGCAGGGCGCGCGGGGCGCACAGGGCAGCAGGGCAGCAGGGCGCGCGGGGCGCACAGAAGTGCAGGGCAGCAGGGCGCGCGGGGCGCACAGGACTGCAGGGCAGCAGGGTGCGCGGGGCGCACAGGGCTGCAGGGCGCGCGGGGCGCGCAGGACAGCAGGGCGCGCGTGGCGCGCAGGGCTGCAGGGCGCGCAGGGCAGCAGGACAGCAGGGCGCGCGGGGCGCGCAGAGCTGCAGGGCGCGCGGGGCGCACAGGGCAGCAGGGCACGCGGGGCGCACAGGGCTGCAGGGCAGCAGGGCGCGCGGGGCGCACAGGGCTGCAGGGCGCGCGGGGCTCGCAGGACAGCAGGGCGCGCGTGGCGTGCAGGGCTGCAGGGCGCGCAGGGCAGCAGGACAGCAGGGCGCGCGGGGCGCGCGGGGCGCACAGGGCAGCAGGGCTGCAGGGCGCGCGGGGCACATAGGCGCAGCAGGGCAGCAGGGTGCGCGGGGCGCACAGGGCTGCATGGCAGCAGGGCGCGCGGGGCGCACAGGGCTGCAGGGCGCGCGGGGCGCGCACGACAGCAGGGCGCGCGGGGCGCGCAGGACAGCAGGGCGCGCGTGGCGCGTAGGGCTGCAGGGCGCGCAGGGCGCGCAGGGCAGCAGGACAGCAGGGCGTGCGGGGCGCGCAGGGCTGCAGGGCGCGCGGGGCGCACAGGGCTGCAGGGGGCGCGGGGCGCAGAGGGCAGCAGGGCAGCAGGGCGCGCGGGGCGCGCGGGGCTGCAGGGCGCGCGGGGCTGCAGGGCGCGCGGGGCGCACAGGGCAGCAGGGTTGCAGGGTGCGCGGGGCGCACAGGGCAGCAGGGCAGCAGGGCGCGCGGGGCGCACAGGGATGCAGGGCGCGCGGGGCGAGCAGGAAGAGGGAAGGGAGGGACGGGCTGCTGGTCGGTCACACTCGCCACCCCCACATCTCCCCCCCTTCCACGGCAGAAGCTACGAGAGGGAAGGGGGAGGGGAGGGGGGGGGGGCGTTAGCTGTTGCCGGCGCTGGCGGTGGCGGTGGCGCAGGTGTAGGCTCCGGCGTTGGCGCTGGCGCTTGGTGCAGGCGTTGGCGTTGGCGCTGGCGCTTGCGCTCCGCAGGCGTTGGCGTTGGCGTTGGCGGCAGTCGCTGGCGCTGGCGGTCTGAGCTGGCGCTGGCGCTGACGACGGGCAAGGCGACGGGCGTAACGGGCGCAACAAGAGGGGGACGCAACGGGCCTGACGGGCAGAGCGCGACGGGCATGACGGCACGGGACTGGTAGGCGCCTCGGGCGCGACCGGTGGCGAGAAAAAAAAAATCGCATTTCGCGCTGCAGCGTGGGTGGGCCCATGTTCCACGAAAGAGAATAGGTCCTAAGACCGTAGTAGCTCTTAATACCATGTCAAAGGCTTAACTAGCTAAGCTTAGGAGCCATAGCTAGGTTACGAGAGAGGAGTGAGGCAAGGAAGGTCGAGAGCAACATGTCGAGAGAATTGAGAAGAAGGAGTTGCACCATAGGAACAACAGTAGATATAGGCAAGAGCTAGGGGTGCACCACAAACAAAACATAATAACTACACTACGACTACAAGCAGTTATCAAATATGTAAAAAATAATTCGACAGGCGGTCATAACCCTTAACACGAACAATAATTGAACACGAAATTTGGTGCTTGTAACAATTCTCTTTCACTCACGGTTCGCCTGGAGGCCTGGAGGCCTGGAGGGGTGAGCAACTAGGGGCCGAGAGGCCTGGAGCTGACCAAGCCGCTCCACAATGAGTGAACGACGGCTGTTCATTGTTTCATAACATTGTTTTCTATCACTTGTGGTTCAAAACGGATCGCTTTTTCTCTCTCACGTCAAATTTGTTATTAGAAATGTTAGTGTTTCATCTTTTAGTGCCCGACGGTTTCAGTTCCGAGGTATTAACATTTCTTTTTTATTAATCAATGTTTACTACATCGTCTTGACAAAACAATAAAACCCTCGCGGATGGCAAGCCATTTGGGAGGCATCAACCCTAAACACCTTGCTTCGTGGTGTTTAGGGTTGATGCATTTTGCAATGCATGCCATCCAAAACGGGTTTTATTTTTTCTTCTCCCGACGACCGCGCTTCTTTGGACGTGGGCTATCTTTTAAACATAATTTTAATATTTCTCTTAGACTCGATAATTAAACATGATTGAACGAGGGGAATACGACGCGCACGTAGTTGTAGGCTCGGTCATACCCAATGAATATATATGTTAAAGAGAACGTTTCGGGCCTTCGGTTAATTCTCTCTAAATAACGGCTCGACTAGTTGGCCCTGCCGCTTAGGCAGCTCCAGGGTTGTATCCTACGGTGGGGATTAACCCGGCCCTAGTTTGATCACCCCTTTGGGACCGTTCGGCCCCAATCTGATCATTTCCCTGCTCTATTCGGGCAGAGGGTGTCCCATTCCCCGGGTGGGTGGGGGGGATGATCAAATTGGGGCCGAAGAGTACTAGAAGGATGACCAAAGTAGGGCCGATAAATATCGACTATAGGATTTATACCCGCACCTGCCCAAGCAGCTAGGCGAACAATCCGAACCGTGCTTGTTGAACAATCCAAAAATAAGAATTGCTACAAGCACCGATATGCTTGTTCAACTTATGTATTACTGTCAGAATCCCAGTCACTAGACCACTGGGATAAAAGGGCTTGTTACGTAGCGGGTCAGTGCGCCCATAACCCCCCAGGACAACGAGCCTGTAACCCCTCCCTAGGATCTATCGGGGATCACCAGTGGACCTCTGACACCCCCCCGCACTGGGATGCCCGAAGTGCACACACTGAGACTCGAAACCGAGACCTTCGCTCTGATACCATGTCAGAATCTCAGTCACTAGACCACTGGGATAAAAGGGCTTGTTAAGTAGCGGGTCAGTGCGCCCATAACCCCCCAGGACAACGAGCCTGTAACCCCTCCCTAGGATCTATCGGGGATCACCTGTGGACCTCTGACAATTACGGCTTATGACCGCCGTCTATACAAAGCGCACGTCACATTCTTTTGGAAGGAAATTTGCCGTGTTAAATTGTGAGTAAAACACAACTTACTAAATTCTGGGTGATTCATATAACCTACTTGTGTCAGAATGTTATGGTGCTTCCATTTGTGTAGATTCGGAGGAACCGTCTCACTTGTCAGGTGGTTGGGAACGGTGTTGGACGGTCAGGTGGGGCTAGGAGTGGCCTGGTGCGGTGGAATGCGGTTGAGTGTGGTTCTGGTGCTTGCGGGAGGGGTTCAGTGCGGTCGGATGCGGTTGGGAGTGATGGAGGGCAGTTCAGTGCTTACATTTGTGTAGGATATAGTGGGGTAGCCCATAAGGGGTACAACCCAATTAGGGTTAGTACTTGTACCCAACTCTTCCATAGTTCATTCATTCTCGTTCATTCTCTTGACATGGTTTCAGAGCAAGTCCTTCGTTAGGACCGAATTTTTTTTTTTAGGGCCCACCACAGCGCTGCCCCACTAGCCACCCTCTGCAGCCCTCGTGCTGCACCTACTGCCCCGCGCCTCGCCCTCTTGTGGCCCGCCAGTCGACCCTAGGCCCCGTGCGCCCGCCCCTTGCGGCCCGCCCGTCGACCCTGCTGCCCCGCGCGCCCGCCCGTCGACCCTAGACCCGGCTCGCCCGTCGACCCAAGCCCGGCCCGCCCGTCGACCCTAGGCCCTGGCCCGCCCGTCGCCCCTAGGCCCCGGCCTGCCCGTCGACCCTGCTGCCCCCCGCGCCCGCCCGTCGACCCTAGGCCCGGCCCGCCCGTTGACCCTAGCCCGGCCCGCCCGTCGACCCTAAGCCCCGGCCCGACCGTCGCCCCTAGGCCCCGGCCCGCCCGTCGACCCTGCTGCCCCGCGTGCCCGCCCGTCGACCCTAGGCCCCGACCCGCCCATTGCCCCTGCTACCCCGCGCGCCCGTCTACCCTAGGCCCAGGCCCGCCCTTCGCCCCTGCTGCCCCGCGCACCCGCCCGTCGACCCTAGGCCCGGCCCGCCCGTCGACCCTAGCCCGGCCCGTTCGTCGATCCTAGGCCCCGGCCCGCCCGTCGCCCCTAGGCCCCGCCCCCCCCCCCCCCCCATCGACCCTATGCACCAGCCCGCCCGTTGCCTCTACTGCCCCGCGCGCCGCCCCTTGCGGCCCGCCAGTCGACCCCAGACCCCGCGCGCCGCCCCTTGCGGCCCGCCCCTCGCCCCTGCAGCCCGCGAGCCGCCCTTGCAGCCCTGCGCGCCGCCCTTGGTGGCCCTCTAGCTGCCCCAGCTGCCTTGCTAGCCGCCCCTTACGGCCCTCTCGCAGCCCCTGCAGCCCCGCACACCGCCCCTTGCGACCCGCCCGCCGCCCCTAGGCCCGCCGACCGCCCGTAGGCCCCCGAGCCACCCCTCTTGCAGCCTGCGCACCACCTCTTGCAGCCCACTTGCTGCCCCTTGCTGCTGCCTGCCCTGTTCCCTGCCCTGACCGGCTTCTGCCCGCCCTCCGTGCTGCGCCGCTATAGCTTCTCTCCGTGTTCTCGCATTCGAACATGAGGGCCGCCAGATCCAGTTTGACACGTGGATCAACGACCTGCAGCTGTACCTACTGAGCGAATCTAGGGACAGCGTTTCATTTTTTTTACCACACGTCTGGCGCCGCTCCTGCCCCTCCTGTCACAGCTGACAGTGCGACTCGCTCACAGTGGCTTACTCGTGACGCTGCTGCTCGCTTAGCCATTTGCAACCACCTGCCGTTAGCCGAATGCGCTCACTTCGGACAGCACAGGACAGCTGTGGCTTACTGTATGACGCTATAGTCGCCCATTACTCCTCGCCTGCCACTACTGCTCTAGGCCGTCTTCTACTGCCCTACCTGTTTCCCGAGTTGTCCGCCTTTGCCAGTGTAGAGGACGTGGTTTCCCACCTTCGCACTAGCGACGCTCGCTACCGCGCTGCCATCCCAGGAGAGTTCCTTCCCAGGAACCAGCCCCCGATGTTCATCACTCTCTAATTTATAGTCACCCGCCTCCCTGACTCTCTTCACACTGTAAGGGACCACTTTCTTGCACTTGACCCCACAGTCCTCACTGTTGACCTACTCAAGCAGCACCTCCTTGCAGCTGAGACTAGTGTAGTCGCTGTAGGTGCTGCTCGTGGCACTCCTCGCACGCCCTTCTTTGAGGAGTGTTCCCCCTCCCCCTTGCCCCCTCCTACGCCTCTGCTCCTGCTGTTGACCTCCTTGGTGCTGAGGACGTCAGGACTGCTTCTGCTAGTGCGAAGCACCGCAGCAGCAAGGGCAAGGGTGGCAGGGGTGGGGGCGGTGGCAGCGGAGGTGGTGCTGGGGGCAGCAGTGGAGGTGGTTGAGGCAGTGGAGGTGGTAGCGGTAGTGGGAGTGGTGGTGGGAATGGGGGCTTTGGTAGAGGCGGTAGTGGCAGCGGTTGGGGTGGCGGTAGTGGCGGCAATGGGAGTGGTGGTGGTCGGGCTGGAGCTACTCAGCGTGGAGGTTCTGGCGGTGGCCAGAGGCAGCAGCAGTAGCGTCGGAGCGAGACCCCGTCACCCCAGTAGCTTCGTGAGTGGTTTTCTCAGCGTGGGGCGTCTGGGGGTAGTGGTAGCTGCCCGTATGTCATTCGCACGGGTGACCGTGCTGGTCAGACATGCGGGAAGCCTCACACTCAGCACCGCTGCTTCTCCCGCCTCGACGACGCTTGGCGCACAGAGTTTGGTGACGAGGCCGAGCGCCCCCGCTGGGCACAGCTGCTTAGGTCTGGAGTTGCTATCTTTGACCTAGACTATGATGCAATCCTTGCTGCTATGTATGCTTTGTCTATTAGTGCTGAGGGTGGCGGTTACCTGTGTGTGATGCCAGACCAAGGTATAGAGGCTGCTGCTCTAGGTGCTAGTGAGTCTGTTCTCCCTGGTACTATGCCTGCTGAGGCCTTGCACACCTTTACACTTGACTCAGGTGCTTCACGCTGTTTCTTTTGTGACAGCACCACCCTCACTCCTCTCTCAGCAAATGTACC